CACAAATTTTAAATAAAATCTAAATGAAACAATAAAAAACTAAGAAGATTACAGAAAATCAAATGAGACCACTTATGTTATCAGCTGGTGGCCATACTATCCGTGCATTTTTCTTCGGTATACCTAGCTTTATAACTAGATTGCTAGCTTTATAACTAGATTGGTAGGAGGATTAGGCTGAAACATTTGATATGAATCATTTTCCCAACTGTGAACTAATTGGAAACCTCAAAGGGAGCAAATTTCTCAAAACTAGCTTCTCTAAACAGCATTTCAAACACCCTGGCTTAAAACAACAAGAACCTTAGAAGTTTAGAAATGGCTACAACAGACAGCGCCAACAAACCCAAAAATATACATTTCCTGAATATCCCTTCCATTAGAAGTTCTTCAGTCTGCATCAATTCTTCATAACAAACAATGAAGGGGATAATGCCAGCTAAGACACGAGATACTCCTAAATTTGAAGTATCTTTCCCAAGCCTGTGCACACCCTCATATGGTAGTTGGGTGCGTGGGGGCAACTGATCTTTAGCATCATTAAGAAGATAGCATGTGGCTGAACCTAACATGTAACAAATACATCATTTTAATTTAGATAGCAACAAGTGCAAGTTCGTTACTTCGGTGTGCCCTTTTGAAAACACAAAAGTAATTCCTCGTAATCCTAGCAAGACTACACGATCAGAATAAGCACAGGTGGGTATTGGTATTTGCATTCATTAACTCATAGTTATCCTATATAACTTTAGTGGCCCTGTTCGCTTATCTTATAATCCGTTTTTTCAGCTTGTTTTTTCATCTGGAACAATATTTTTCTCTCACAACAAATTAGCCGGAATAGTGTTTCGGCTTTTTTTCAGCGAAGGGAACGGGGCCAGTACATTGTGTAGATACTATTGGTTTGATTTTTGTCCTGATTTTGCGGCTTTCTTCACATTGAGTATCGGATGTAGCACGAAATCAGTCGAGCTAGTTCCTATACCTCATTCGCGTTGTTCTCATCCATTTTCTCTTTTCCTTTGCCTTGCTTTTTCGGTGCCATGGAGATGAATTGAAGGAGCAGACGGGGAAAAAGGTTTGGGAATCGGAAGATTGGGGAGCTTTGGTGTGCGGGGACTAGGATACAGGGGGCCACGAAACAACGTGAGGGGAGATATTAAGTTCTCTCCCCCTCCTACTGCTCTTGCAAAGTGGCAATGGTGGACGGAGAGAGCGAAGAGGAGGAAGCGGCGGCGGCGTAGGAGCTAGGAGGAGGGCTACAGCGGCATGGAGCGGGAGGAGGGTTTGGCCAAAGAAAGCTTCCCACTTGCTCGTGGTGTGCGAGCCAGTGAGAGAGGAGGAGGGAGGGAGATGGAGAGGGAGGAGGAGTAGGAGGCAGATGTCATCCTCTGTGCTGCGCTACTTTCGTGCGTTAGTATGAATCTGATCCCCTATCTAAGAATCGATGGCTTTCCTTCCTCTGTTACTTCTTGGGTTACAAGATTTACAATGCCCACGTCTAATTTTATCATGTCCCCTCCCCAATCACAGCCCTGCAACATAATAGATACAACGCATCTCTCCCTGAGTTTACCTTATCTATTTGTAACAGCAGATTATTCCAAGAGACCCAAGGATTTCATCAAACAGATAAACAAATTATAAAGTGCATAATTAACCGAACCAGACTATTGCGGGCTTGCTAGAGGTCGGGGAATGAATCGTTTATGTTGGGGTTTTAGAGTCAGTATATATGTTGTGTCTCGCAAGAAAAAGTCAGTATGTTGTGGATCATGATTGAGCAGTGCTCTACTTTTTTAAAAGGGTGTTGCTATATATCAGGTGCTTGATTTTTTTCAATTTTCCAGACGACGAATCCGAACCATCCGATCAAGATCTGACGGCTGTCCATTTTCTTCTTCCTCAGGCTAATTGCGCTGACCCACTCCCACCGCCGTCACTGTCCACTGTCCCGTCGTAGAGCTCCGGCGAGACCCTACTGCTCCCGCGGCGGCCTCCTCCTCCGCCTCCCCTCTCCCGCCGCCGCTATCTTCTCAAACTCTAGCGAGAATGGTCGCGACGCCCCCGTCCCGAGCTAGCCCGACCGCCTCCATCGCCGCTAGGACCTGAAGCCGCCCGGCCCCGTCCCCACCACCTGGCTAGCCTGCCTCCCCCAAAACCCCTTCTATAAAGATAAGCTTATGTCCCTTAAATTTGTATTATTTTCTTGAGTACGTTAACGATCTCAGATGAAAAACTTCAGAACAAAAAACTTGTAGGTCTTATCGATAGCTATAACTTTGGTGTAAAAAGTATCTTCGTTTGACACCTTTCAAGAAAAAAATAATTTTCGTGAGGCGACAAGCCCTGGAGCACGATTAATGTGCTGCTGAAACTTTATATTATTTTCTCGAGCATCTTAATGACCTCAAATGTAAAAACTCAAAACTATAAAATTGTAGATCTTATTGTGGGCTACAATTTTAATATAAAAAGTACCTTCATTACACAGGCGAGGGTAAGGCTTGCCACTGACACCCTTCCACAGACCCCGCACAGAGCGAGGGCTCTCTGCACTGTGTACGCCCTTTTAATCATCTTCATTTGACGTCGAATGAAGATTTATGATTTTTCCAACGTGGTAGATCTTGCCATGGCAACGCATGTGACGTGAGAGCGTAATTTTGTCACGTCAACTGGACTGGCGCGATCAAAATGTGTTAGATTTAAAAAAAATAGATATGGTTATTATTAAAATATTGAATAAAAAAGGATTAAAAAAAATCGCCAGTGGCCAAGGGCTGCCAACGGGGGCACATTAACCACGGGGCATGGGGCATGGCCCAAACACGTTCGGCCTTGGGAGAGTCCGGCTGGAATTAGGCGTGTGGCTCAAAGGCCTTGTGCTTCCCTCGTTGGTTTCGGTCAGCCCAAACTAGCCAGTTAATAATATTTTTCTCTAACAAAAAAATCAATATTAACCAGTCTAAACCAACACTAGCACCGACCAACCAACAGCCCCGATCGTCACCTGCCGTTCCTCGGCTCTCGTAGCGGCAGTGACCCTTCTCCTCCGGCTCATTCCCGTATGGCGCCCGTCCACGGCGAGCATGCCATGTGGCTGCCTCTCCCCATGTTCCGTATTTCGAGTCGCGCTAGTAACGCGAGGGGCGTAGACGGAGACTCACGGCATGCATACTAGCTGTATCTTAGGACCTTTATTTTTTTTAGCATCCTATTATATTTTCTACCACAATAAAAAACCAGTAAGTAGGCACTGTACAATTCCCAAATGCTGCACTTCTACCCAGAGACGATAGGCAAAAATCTTGGTTTATAACTGCCAGATCAATAAAATGCTATAAATTTGACCTTACATAAAGTATTACCGCGGAGATACACAGCATGTTCGGGAGGCCATATCGTATCGTGGATTATTTACTGTTGGCTGGTTTGGTGTGAGAGAAAAACATTATTCCCGACTGAAAATTTACGATCGTTTACGAGCAAGCGAACAGGCTGACAAAATCAAGGCACACCACCAGAACAATAAAGCACAACTCATTCACTGCCTCATTGGCACATGCCATGTTTGGCTCCTCATAAGCTGTGGTATAATGTTTTTCTCTTTTAATAAATTAGCTATATAAATCAGTACAAATATGTTATAGACCAGCCGAAAAAGGCACAGTCCATAGCGCCGCGCCAATTTTTCTAGTCGACCACGAATCAACAACCATAAAGAAAGATCTAGACGCCATTGCCAGAAAGCACAACGCTACTTCCTGGTGGCACGGGCAACTAGGACCAACGTACGGTACGCTTCTGCCTCATCTAGAACACGAGGGCTTAGACCGCTATCGTTTTACCGGTGCTCGAAGAGGAGAGATGGTCCAAGCACCTGTGCCGACCATTGCGAGCGATGCCGAATTTCCAGAAAAATTGGGCATCAAGTCATGTAGAAGCATCGATGCTTCAAACCTCTCTCTGACAACATGCATGTATATGAAAGAGAAAAATGTACACAAGAGAGATGAAAGCTGTCTATAGTTGTTGCTTTTTACTGTTTAGTGGGTCCTACACGATGTCTGCCCATTACAGCTTGTCTCCACCAATATTGAGTTTCTGCTTTTAGTTTTGGGCATCGATGCACACACTGTGGCCAGTCTTATGCTAGCCAATTAGCCTTGGTTCATGCGTCACATCTATGGCTGAACGTAGTACTACCAGGATCAGCGCAGGAGATAGGAGATGCCTGTGGCCGCCAGGAAGGCAGCAAGGAACCCATACGCCTAAACACTTGCATCGATGTGTGTAGTCTGATGCCTCGTGCAGCTATCGGGACTGCATCGGCATCGCAGCCCGTACGATCGATTCAGGCTACGCGTAGCAATAAGGGACTCCACTACTGGACTTCCATGTTCCATCCCGTGTAAAACACGTGAAGGATCCATTCCTTTAAACGACAAGCGCATGGCACAATGCACCGGAGCATCCTCTGCGATCTGCATGCGTGCTTCACAATTCAGGCCAGCTCCTTAACAAATATTTACTCATGTACTATTTCCATGTTTGGTGATTATCAGATAACCAACCACAGGTATGGTGATTTTCAAGCTGATGAAATGAACATATAACAACCATAAGTTTAACATATACAGAGTCAAGTGCTGTCAAATTGCAGCAGCAGATACAAGCATTTTAACTAAATCGACAATGACAACTGAATTGCCATGGCACTGGCATTCCTTAACACAACTCGAACTTTATTCCAAGCTAATTCATCAAAGAGGTTATTTATCAACTTCGACCAAGCACAACACAGCTGACCACGACAGAGTTCTAACGATCAAGTCACGACAGATGAAAATCCGTACACCAAGGTTTTCTACAAGACCAGACAAACATCGCGATTCTGCTTCACTGCAGACAAACACAAATGCAAACACAGCAGTTACTTCGCTCTAAGCTCAGTCTTCCCACAAGCTTCAGATTGCCTTATTGAACCAGTCATGCAATCAAGCCCGCTCCATCATGTATTCGATGAGAGGTTTCTGCAGTCTCCCCTCAGTGCTCTCTATTATGGTGAGCCTCCGTGCTACTTTCATGAAGTCACTGTCACACGCACACAATATAGTTTAAATGTACTAGTATATAGTAGACACTGATTATATACAAGGTCAATAAAAGCTGATGGCATTAAGGAAACGCTCACCTGAATGACTCTTCACCAGTATGCTTGACAGCACCAGCAGCATCACGGTAACAAAGGTGGCTCATTATTTCTGCCTTCTCAATTCCAAACATGTCAGCTAACTGACCGTACAGCTCTTCGTATGAACCAAAGACAGATAAGTCAATGGTGCGACCAACATCCTCTGATTCCATAAATACCTTGCAGTGCCCGGCTTCTAACCCAAGCTCAGAAGCCTCGCGACCTTGGGATGAGAAACCGATGCAAATCGATGAACCAGAACCATCAGATACATTTCCTGTCTTCTGAACATTGCCATCAGAAGAACTGTTTCCAGTAACCTCAGGGGAGAATGTTTCCCTTGATCCTCTAGAATTCATCTGCTTCTCAGTAAGGATCGGCTTTCCAAACAGCATTATATGGGGTTTCTTCCCGTCATCAGATTTCTCTGTGGCCTGTGGTGTGCCAATTGTCAACAAGCAAGAGACACTCTCATTGACTGGTGCACTGCTGATCACAAAACCCTTGGATATATGGGATGGCGGAGTGATAGCATCAAGCTGGTTAAAACCGCCGCCTTGGAACAGACCGAGGTGCAGCTTGCTAAGCTGGTGGTCTGTTAGGGGTAAACCAAATTGAGCATGCCTGGCTCCCTGTATGCCTGCAGGAGCAATGTCCGAGAAACAGCGAAGAGGGCTGTTGCTTGGACCAAGTGGGTTGCCGTGGAAAAGTGGATTCAACAGCTGACCATCAAATGGAAAGTCTGGATGTTGGGGCACCCGCAACTTCTTTCTAGGTGGAGAAAATGGTCCCAGGTGAATTGGTGGAATGCTTGATACAATCTCCACAAGCCATGGATTGACACATTTCACATTCTGCAGCAAATCTGGTTCATCCCATGTCACCTGCAATAAATTTGCAACTATGTGAAAAAAGAGACAGTGCACACAATTAGAATGTGCTGGTGCTGGCAGAGCTAATAAGGACAAAGGAAGCATAATCTAACAATAAATTGTGTACCAATTGCACAAGTAAATTCTTTGTGTTCAAAGTAAATTCTTTCTACATCTGCTATAATTAATAACATCAGACAAAATAAGCAGGCGAGTTTCAAATGTCTCACTTAACAATGCTTGTAAGACACCTACATTTGTATTCCTACATTGCCTGTCAAGCTATGCACCAAGACAATTCCAAGAAAACAAAAACATGCTAGGGTAAGGACAGATGAGCAACCAACAGGTAGCGCATTAAAGTTAAACTAACACTAGATCAATATTATGCTTGTGCCTCAATCTCTTTCTCAAGGTACGGTCGTACGGATGTACAATGCCATGCTGCAATTAAATATCAGCTAGCAATCTTATAAAGGCATTGATCATATAGGCAAATGTAAGGTACTGTCATTAACATGGAAAAAAAGGACCAATTGATTCAGGAGTCCAGGACTGAGAAACCTATATATAAATGGATGTTTGTTGGAAATATGTGAATGTTAATGAGTTCACTCCCCACATTTCAATTTCAGCTAGACACACGTATAAAGCAGATCAAGTTTCCTAATGTTTCCTGATGCTAACAAAACGATGCTTACCAGCTTCCAAATTGTGCAGAAACAGACACAAAAAGCTACGTAGCTATGATGATAGGATACATGGAGATGAGAAACAATGCTGTAGAAGATGACAACACTGCTCTCAGTGACCACTAACCAGAAGAGACTGACGAAACATACTAACAATTTGAAAACTATACATTCCAGAAGAGAGAGTAACTAAATCAAACAGATGGTATATTTGCCCAATAATTCCTCAGATGCCCAATTTCATAATTGAATTTTTGTCTAGTAATATAAAGGCTTCCAGATACTTCATGTGGGCTATAAACGGTTGAGCACCATGCACTGTGTGCTGGTCATCTTTTAGGTGCACCTTCTAGTGTGAACCAGAGCACCTCAAGCAAAGATCATGTTTAAGCGATTTATGCATATTCCATATCAACATTGAACCAATAGTTCCATAGCAGCAGTTAAATTCACAGGGCATGAAACGTTCATAGTCTCATAGATACCAAAAACACAACACTATTAACCCCAAACAGGAAGCAAGTTAAAAATAGCATGCATCAGTTCATAATGCAGTATGGCACATAAGTATGGGAAACATGGGATCAAGCAAAACCTGAAGAAGCCTCCACAGTGAATTTGGCCATCTGATTGGGTCAGCAACCTGAGCAGAAGCTATCGTCCCCATAAACCAGCTGATCCTTGATGAATCCTCTGTCTCAAATGCCATCTTGAACCTCATCCCAGGGCACCACTGGTTCCTCATCACGTTCTGCACCGATGCAGCCTTGACAACAAACTCCGGTGTGCTAGCTCTCGGGTAGTACACCACCTCAAATGGTTGGCCGATCGCCGCTAGGCTTGCGGCCTCAACAACATCCGTGATCTTCACCTTCCCCCTGCCTCTCATGTACCCACCAGGACCCTTCATCATCTTACCCTCCTCATCCTTCAAGAAGGCCGACAGGGCCCCATACCCCGGGGCGTTCCACCCAGACATGCACTCCATGCCACCACAGGACACCCGCTTGGCACGGCGTATCCCGACGCACAGCTCGCCATGCTCGGTGCGCAGGAAGACGATGGAGTCCCCGGCGACGAGCTTCTTCTGGTTGACGAAGGTGCTCCATCCCGTGGTGAGCAAATGCCGGCGCGGCGTGCCCCGGTAAATGTGGCGGAACTTCCAGACCTCCCCGTGCACGTCCTTGGCGAGCACCGTCTGCACGGGCGGGTCGGCCCGGTAGTCGAGCTTGGGGAAGATGGTCTCGGCGCAGTAGCGCGGCACCGAGAAGCCGCCGCCGTTGTTGGCGTCGGACTGCGTGAGCGTCTTGGCGAAGGAGGACAGCTTCTCCCGGGCGTCCGCGGGGTCGCCGCCGAGACCGAACTCGTCGGGCTCTCGGAACTCCACCTCGCCGGGCGCGAGCGGCACCAGGCGGATCTTGGCGAAGACCTCGTCGGTCTCCGGATCGGCCAGGAAGCGCACCCCGGTGACGCTGCAGAGCACGAGCGGCGGGAGCGGTCGCGCCCCGGCGGCGAGGTCGGCGGCCCCGCCGGCGTGCGCGTGCTCCGCGTGGCCCTGCGGGAAGTAGTAGACACGGGAGCGCACGGGGGGCATCTGCACCATGCCGCCGGCGCACGCGTGCCACAGCTGCGGGTCAAGGCACCTCTCCTCGCCCGCCTCCTTCATGGCCTCCTCCTCCTACTCGTCGTCTCGTCGTCGTCTTCCTCCACCGCCACCAAATGCGATCACTGTCCAGCAGAGCAACCTGCCACGTCCCCCGTTATTCACACGAACCCACCCAAGTACCAGACCACCCCACGCAACCCACGAAACGAAAAGCAAAGCAATTGGAACGGAACGGCGACAGCAGGAGCGATAGATACCTCCTCCACGAACGCCCAAGGGTTCCAACTGGCAGATCATGGGGGCGCCGGAACCGCTACTCCGGAACTCGGAAGAGACGTTGGCAACCGGGTAAAGCGGATGAGAAATCTACATCAGGGCCGGCATCGGCCCGGGCAACGGCTCTGTCCGAGGACACCTCCCCCAAGCTTTGCTTCGGTTGCCCGAGCCCCAGGAGACGACGAAATCTCGACGGCGGCGAGGTGAGGTGGGGAGAGAGAGGCTGACGGTGGTGGTGGCGCGCGCGCTGCTACAGCGGCACACACACAAACAGTGGGTTGGAATTATGGCGAGGGAGGCCTCGGACGCCTCTCTCTCCTTTGGTGATGAGTGCCGCTCGCCCCGCTACTGCCGCTGCCTGCAGCTGCTGCAGTAGCACACAGCACCACAGCCCAGTGGAAGCGCGGCCCCACCGGATCCGCCGCGCCCGGGCGAACAGCGAACAGCCGCGCGGCACCGGGCGGGGCATGACGCGCGGGCCCCCGCCTGCCGAGGAGGCGGATTTTCTGCTGTCGGTGGGGTGCGGCTGCGGCCGGGCAACGCGCGGTGGTGGTGACGACTCCGTTCCGTTTTTGCCGGTCGTATCGTCTGAGATCGTGTCCTGTTTGAATTCATCTCGAGATGGTCGGTCATCCACTGCCAGTCCAACAGCCTCCTGGTTTATCTCAACCGACCCCCAGATTATTCGTAAATCGTAATAGTAACGTTTGTTTTCCTTTTTTTATTAATTACTCCATCCCTACTAAAAATAAAGTCGTTTTGGACAAGGCTTTGGTCAAATATTGAGAATATAAATCATGAATAACTTTTAAGTTGTTGAGTTTAAAAAATATAAAAACCATATGTATAAATTTGTCTTGAAAAATACTCTCACAAAAATTTACATATATCACTTTTTGATAAATATCTTTATAAAAATAAGTAGTCAAAGTTATGCTTTAAAGACCGTGTCGCTGTCAAAACGACCTTGTTTTTTTTTTAAGTACGGAGGGAGTATATATGAAAAGATTAGATGAGCTACTGGAAATAACGTTTTTATTTTACGGCCAGATGGGGACGCCCAGTGCATGATGCCGAAGTTGCTGCGACGGGGCTCCAGCTGGACTGATGAAGAGCGAGCACACGCTGCTCGCCCTTGTGTAGAAAGCTCACGCATTTGTGATCTCCTGAACAAGCAAACCATGACTGGAAATGGACCGGATCATCACGTGGAATGTCCACCCGTTCTCCAACTCCTCAGAGCATGCGTGAACCGACGCCCAGATCTTCAGCGTACGGCACGCCATTTCCAGCGCAGGCACTGAATCATGAGAGGTTATGGGGCCAGGGCGGTCTGGCTCACATTTGTACGCGCGGCACACGGTTGCATGCCGGATTGCGGCGATTGAATTCGAGGGTTGGAACCGTAAGTACGTGCGAGTGTGTCTTTGAACAACGCGGTGCAGTGCAGAAAGACAGCCAGCACAGTGACAACTGACAAATGGCACCACAGGCGGAGGTCCAGCACTGCTAGACCGACCATGTTCACTTGACAGTGAAAGAGAGAGGGTTAAATTTGGACTGCGTAACTAACTTTACCAGAAAGAAAAATGGAAGCGAATGTTTTTTTAGGTTAACGCGCGGCCCAGAATAGCTTGGTCGTAGAAAACGGGCGGTGTTGCAGTGCAGTAGAACGAACTGGACTAGTGGAGGCGTCCGCATCGTCAAGGGATCCCATCCCGTCGTTCAGTCTGTTTGCTGGTCGGTCTGGGCTGATAAATTCGGCTGGTGCTGTTTGTTGTGAGAAAAAAAAAACTGTACCATGGCTGATAAGCTCTGGCTGAAACCAACCAGCGAACATGCTGGTTGTTGCGTGTCGTCGTTGGATTCAGCTGCGAGCGGAGCTGACGGCACGGGGTCGGGTGATGAAGATGCTCGGGAACGCCGTGCGCGCACTTGGGCCACTCGTGTCGTGTCGATGACGGCTGTGTCATGCGGCCGCAGCTACGCCTGCGTGTGCGTGTGCTCGGTCCGGTGCCGTTGAAGGTGTTAAGAATTTTTCGACCAGAGAATTGATGGCCTCATACCATATATACGCTGATGGGCTCGTACCATATATATATACGATGATGGCTATCATATATGCTCTAAAGGTATTTATATAAAGAGACTAGATGTATACGTGAAATGACTAATAAAGAGATGGCTCCCCTCATATACCAGTGTGTCATTTGTGTTCTTGTATGTTGTTCTTGGAGATTTGGATAGGAGACGGGATCAATCTACGACTTCTACATGTCTCTTTCTTGGGATTGGGAACGAAAAACGGATCTAACAATCCGTGAATAGGTCGATTCTCAATACGTTATCAGCAACTCTTCCAACTGGGTGAGACGTTCTTAATTTGTTGAGGTTCTTTTTCTGATTAGTGCGAAAGCATGATACTTCTTCCCCATGAAGAACATTGTTGTCCTTTCTTGGACTATTGAAGTCCTGAAGTGGTGCCACACCTCACCTACTATAAGATCTAGCTGCCAACTACCAGAAGATGGAAAGCATGTAAACAAGTTCGAATCCTAAATCACAACAAGCTAGAAGCTAACTTGATATTAACCAACTGTCGGTTATAGTAGTTATCCTAGGCTCTGACAGACCGTAGGAATCTTGACAACTAGAATGCTAGTAATGATATTTCTTACATGTACTTTTTACCTACAAAAGTTACGCTATCAATTGAGAGTTTATCCCAGAAGGATATTGGTCACTGTTGCTCTTACGAAGCAATCATTTTTTTTCTTAAGTCAATGACTTTTGCATTAAAATAATATTTCCTAGATAAATGAAAATTCTTGGTCTTATCTATTCTATTTAAAAGCTTCTCTTCATGCTGAACAATGAATTGATCCAAGCCATGCTTTATATAGAACACGAAATATGCTGCAATAAATATAATGACTAAATTTTTTCTATATGGTATGAGTAATTGGGTCAATTTTGGGCAATAAACAAAAGAGTTGGACTATGAAATAACTCTGCATCCAAAATTTATGCTTGGCAACCACGACTAAATGCCATGTTCTTGCTATCATACTTATACACACCAAGCTCAACGCGCCTGAAAGCGCAATGCCACCATTATTGTATTTACTCATGCATATGACCTAGAAGGTCGATATCCATAATGGATAGATTGATTATCAATTAAACAACAATTGGTGAGCATTAGCTCCAGAAGAATTGTTATGGCTAAATTATGGGTTACGTTGGTAACTACAGGTGTTAAGTCTAGAAGGCTGCATATGCATTTGTTGAAACTAAGAACTTGCAGAGCAATAGTTTATAATCCAACAGAAGTTATGGGCTCATCAAGAAGTTGAGGATACTCCTCCTGTAGTAGGAAATACTCGTAGTATTCATGCAACTGCATTAAAAGTCCAAGCTAATTGCATATAAAAATAGTAATAGACCCCCAAATAAAGTGCGTAATATTTCTCAAATAAACCACCACTAAAGCATACATATACACCACTAGAAGTTGGTGAATGGGGAATTTTAGTATGCTATTAAATATCTCGGCATTAGGGGGAGATGAATGCACATATTATGAAATGCCATGATGTTTATGAATCAACACGTACAAACCTAAACTAAACTAGTTGTTTAGTTACACTCCTCTATTCTATAGCATGGAGTTATGTCAGATAGCTATTTGTACTGATGAGGAGCAGCCATATTGGTTAAAATCTAAATGAATGCTTCTACCCGAAGTAGATGTAGATATATCCGGGATTAATTTCATATCCATTTTTGGCCTTGGCATTTTGATCAAATTATGCGGGGATGCCTGCAAATAAGATCTATAGGCCTAAGTCAAAAGCATATGCTCATGAAGCAAACTCATATTATGTGTGATAAAACTCCTGTCTTACTCCTATAGAGAAATCACCCTGCTAGTGAGTTATCTCACGATGAGGTTCATCCTGGAGATGAAAATCCTAGCAATGCGCGCATACTATAAAGCTAGGAAAACGGAACAACAATGAATCTATCGTTTTGGGTAATAACGAAAGATTGTTATTAAGTCAGAAAAATATGTGTCGACACTTATTTGTCTCTATAATTGCTAAATGAGTCTCTTTGTGAGAATCCGGATCCGAAACAAAGTCCATGGCAAGAGTGCTTGAAGCTCTCATATCGGGTCAAATGAAACATGCCGTTGAGGCTGAACCAAAAATCGCTATGTGAATATCTTGAACCTGATGTTCAGATAATTATGGGTCATCGTTAAATAATGGGTGGTGAAAAGCGATGCTTCAAAAGGTCCTAATAGAGACCAGTTCTGACATAAGTTTTATAAAAATATGTTCCGCTATATAATGAATGCTAATGACATGAATTAAAATATGCAGTTATGGGATTCTGAAAATCCATGAAGAGCAACATCAAAATCTCATACCAATATTGTCTTTTATGAGAAATGACCTCCCCATAAAGACAACAACTCCTCGAAGGATTTTCCCTGAAGTAATATATGGTTATAAGTCTGAATGCACAAAAATAAGTGAATTCATCGAAAGGAATAAAGACACATATAAGACTCGAGAGATAAGAATGGAAAGAGAAACTGAAAGGAACAAAAGTATACCATATAAGCAGATGCGCATTTCATGAGTTTTTACTATGGGTGTATATAGACTTGTGACATAATGCCTTCTCCACCTGAAGTTTTGGATTGAAGTATCCTCTGAAATCGGTATGATATATTTTGGTGTTACTAGCAATACTTTCCCCATTACACTAGAAAT